AGCAGGCAAATCGCATCAACAGGAGGGACATCTTTCTACTACTAAAAAACTAAAAATCCAACAAACTAACTATGAGCAACACATAATTGAAGAGAGTGAATAGTATTAACATCTTAATTGAAGAGTGTGAATAGGATTTCTTTGACCAAGAATCAACTATGTTGATAACAGTACAGAACTTTTTGCTGATAACAATAAAGCGCCTGGGTACATGATTCTCCACTAGTATGTATAAAAGTAACCTCCATACTCCAGCACAGAAATGAACAGATTATAGTACGAAGCAACCAGGGAGAACGCACATAAACAAGAAACGAACCCCAGCATTTGCCCCCCCCCCCCCCAACCCAAGGTTCCCAGATTCACGGAAACCAAGCTTAAGACGAAATCTAGGCGCAGTATCAGCAACACAACTAGTCACACAACGAACGAAGACGTCCCAACCCTCTGCCAATCGAACCCCGACGCGGAACAAACCGGAAAATTCCGGAGGGGGGGTGGGGAAGAAGGTGAGGGAGAGGGAGCACAGGAGGAATGGAAGGGAGGGCGATACCTTGGCGGGATCGGCGGCGGCGGCGGAGGCGCGGGATCCGGCGGCCGCGGCGGCGCGGAAGGGGGCGGAGAGCTGCTGCGCCATGGGGGGGGCCTCCTCGCGCGCTAGGGTTTTGACCGCGCCGCGGAGAGAGAGAGAGAGAGAGCTCGCCTTTCGTTTCGCGGCGGAGGAGGCGGCGGAGGGGGGGAAGGGGAAGGTGGCGGCGAGGCGAGCGACTCGTCTCGTCTCCTTTTTATAAAAGGAAAATGTTGTACTGTAGAATACTCCCTCTGTCCATTTAAAAAACGCAGCTATGAGTTTTCGTGTCTAATTTTAATTGTCTGTTATATTTAAAAAATTATTTAATAGAATTATGAGTCACACTTAAAGTAATATTCATATTTTATCATCTAATAACTATATAAAATTATTAGTTATAAAATAAAATGAACGATTAAAATTAAACACGAAAATTTATAGCTACGTTTAAAATGGGAGGGAGAGAGGGTACTAGAATGGGTAGGTGGGTCGCCTACCCCGCACCGAATCGGATCTCTCGCCCTCCCGACTCTCTGGGGTTGTGGACCCCCAACCTCACCTCTCCTGTCATTAAATTATTGTTTTTGTTTTTAAATTGAGAAATGGAAGAAAGATTCTCGTTTTCATTCACTTTGTTTAAAATTTTTTGTTGGCTAATGGGAAGGTGGAGAAGGAGAAGAAGGGATTGTCAATAGTCTGGTTGCTAAATGCTAATTCGTCTATGATGGCCATTACATCGTTGACGAATGAGTGTATTTGGTGTTTGTTTAAAGTTCGGGCATTCTGTTTTCTACCATAGATTTGAGCTTTTATAATCTTTAAGAAATTAATTAAAGAAAAAAAAGGATATAAGAGGCGAACCAACCAAAGCAGAAAAGGACCGAAATGAAAAGGAGAGGAAAAGAAAAGAACTGGCCAAACGGGTGCTTCCCAAATGAATGACAAACCATACACTGTTCAAAATAAATGTAAATGTTTTTTTTCCTACTGCCATGTCAACATGTCTAATTGAAAAGGACAAGCAATGTAAGATCTTATCAACTCATTATGGAGAATCTTTTTTTTTTTGGTGAAGTTTTACATGTTTCACAGTTTTTTGCCGTGAACCACCTTTTGAATTAATCTCACCTCGATGTTTTTCTGGCGAATAAACCCCTGTGGATCCATTTGAACGAAAGGATCCTTAATTAATCATTTTTTTTCATCACATAATAGTATGATACAGCTTATTTATAAGTAATCGATCAAGTTGTAATGACAAGCTGCCTTTTGGCTGGCTGATTTGTTGGTTGATAATAAAAATTTTGGAATTATTATTTATTTTTTTATTTACTTTATTATCCAAAGTACTTTGAGCCTAACTTTTTTGGTTTTTATATTTGCATAATTTTTTTTAATAAGATGGGTAGTCAAACAGTAAAAGTAAAATATCAAAAATCCCCAGGACGGAGGGATTACACGAGAAGAACATGATTTGTGCCAGAGCATCAGAGCCGTACCATTCTGGTCCGAACAGGACCATGCTTTTGATGTTTGAGCGGTGCAAAATTCAAATTTACTCTGCCACGAGAGAAAACAATTTTACTCCCTCCGATTTTTTAACGTACCACGCCATACAAATGCTATCTTCATAGTACAGTGTAAGTAATATCACAACCTGAGTTGTTTATCATCGAATAGTGAATGCATCCTTGCATGGTTTCATATTTTGCATATGTGGTGCTAGGTCAGAAGACAATAGCACAGCTCTTCTATTTTGAAACATGGGGAGAAGAATTCCAATGTGAAAAACGCACAGATAAAGTTGGACTGAAATGAAACAAAATTGTTTGTACCTTGCAAAGAATCCATGAAGTTTATCAAAATTCTTATCTCATAGGAGCTAGTATATTTTGTATTAGATATATTACAATAATGCTGTGAAATTGCAGAGTTTCGAAATTACGTATCTGAAATGGCAATAAACAAAGCCACATGAGAGCGGAACTGGTATCCATTATCAAACCCTACCACCCATGTATTAAATATAAAATAGTAATTTAGTAAGGTCACAACATTATGATTTTCTTTTGAACATATGTATGATCTTCCTATACAAAATATAAATACAGTAAAAAAATCACATATTTATCATTGGTCGTCTTCTTTTAAACATGTGAATAGAAGGATTAATTGTGGATATGCATGCTCATATGTATGAGAAATAACAGTAAATTGCCTATTGGATTGATATGAATTTTTTTACCACACTTACGTGTTGGATCAAGGGTAACCAAACCTTTCTAGTTTGGACCACCTATTTTGACAAATTGTTTCAATTTGGACTTGTTTTTTTCTCCAGCTCCCTCCCTCCCCTCTCTCATCGGTGGTGGTATTACGCTCTTCTCAAGAGAACCATACGTGAGACTCTTGCCTTATATGGCTCTGTCCTGGAATCTGGATCCCCCTCCTCTTTCCTTTGACCAACGGCTCCCTCCCTCTGCTCTATCCTCTTCATATCATCAGTGGCACCGTCAATGATGACCTCGAGTTCTGAGGCTAGCTAGTGTAGTGCGTGCGGGAAACCTCAACCTTGCCACAAGTGTCGATGTTGTCTTTAGCTAGAGTCTAGTAGATAGTGTGCTTGCCACGCTCAACCTAGACCTCTGCCCCGTGCTCAACCTTGAGCACAAGCATCTTAGTTGATGCACTCCACCTTGAGCTCCGTAGGCACCATCACCGCAGTTGATCTTTTGCCTCCATCGGTGATGTGCTCCACCTTGAGTCCTACTAGCTTTCATGTTGCACTTGAGCTCTAGTTCGACTGATCAGCGCCATGCTCCATCTCAACCTTTGCCAACATTGACGCATCGCTTGAGCTCGAGCTCCACATGTCCCCCTCTATCCTAGCAATTGGTTTTTTTTGTTTGTTTCTTTTATTTTTTTAGCTCAAGTGAAAACATAGGCTGGGGAGATTCAAGTTTCATCTCAAGCGCATGGCAATGGTGGCCGGTGGATGCTCGATTAGCTACCAATCTGTCATCGGTGGTTCTTTCACCCTCCATAGAAACATAAGAGAACTAGAGAAGAGAAAAAACTGGAGGTAGAAGAACAGGTGTAGCCTGTAGGGCAGAATTTTGGTAAACATACATGGTCCATTTACATACATAGTTTAAGTTATAACAATAGTAAAAAAAATTGTAAAATTTGCTATGGGACATCAAAAAAACGTGTAATTAGCTGGGAGACACTGCAAAAACGCTTATTTGCTATAGGACACCACCAAAAACTGGTAATTAGCTGCTGGACACCCACGAGATTATTTTATTATATCCGGAGAAATTGCAGAGAGAAACAACTGTGTAAGTACGATTCTACCCTTCGAATTTTTTTCTTTTTATTTTTTCTCTATCCTTCTCTGCTCCTTCTTCCTTATTCTTCTCTATCTCATTCTTTCTCTCTTTCTCTCTCTGCTCTTCAAGCGAGCCCGAGGGAGCGCTGGTGATCGTGCGACGAGGCGCGGGCCAGTGCGGGCACCTCGGTTGGAACGGTGTTGCGCGTTGCTGAAGTATGACGGCCTGTACTTGGGCGCCGGTGGCACCGGGATGTACTGGCGGCGACCAAGCATGGGCTCTAGCACGAGGAGGCGGAGCTGGGTGGGGCTAAGGAGGAGGACGCGCCCGCCACGGGAGCCGACGACGTGCCACTCGGCGGCGTCGCCCAAGGCGAACACCCCGTCAGGATTACGCGTCGTGGCGCCGCGATGGTGGCTCCGACGGCAGTCCCCGGTGTCATTGATGCCGATAGGGATGGAGCGGTTGTTCGCCCAGGCGCCATGGTTGTGGTTGTGGAAGAACCCGACGAGGGGAGCCCCTGGCGCGCTGATGTGGAGGTCGCTGAAATGGTGGAGGAACCGGCGGCTAGTGAGCACGCGGCGGAACCGACTGTTGACGAGAGAGATGCGGTGGAGGCAGGTCGGCTGCGGCGGTAGCAGTAGCACGATGAGTGTCACCGGGACGCCTCGAAGGAGAATGTGGCGTCTCACCGTCCTCGTGTGGGTATGCAATGGCGTGTTCCAGCTGGTCGACGTGGCGCTGCGTGGGGAGAGAGAGGGGGGGCTTACATTTGAGCTTACATGTGGGGCCCACGTTTGGACTCATTTGAGCCAAGGGCAAACTTGTCTTTAATGATTGTTTCTCTATCCAATTTCTCCGGATATAATAAAATAATTCTGCAGGTGTCCAGCAGCTAATTACCAATTTTTTGTGGTGTCCTATAGCAAATTAGCGTTTTTTAGATGTCCTACAGCAAATTTTGCAAAAAAAAAAAAAAGCCAAAGTATGCAATTTGCTCGCGAAAAAAATTCCAGCTGCATTGCGCCCTAACCACCTGACACGTGTCCCCGCTCCCCGACATTTAAACTGTCGCGCCTGCCACCCCTACCCTCGTTGTATACCAAACGGCAATACGCGCCTCTCTCTCTCTCTCTCTCTCTCTCTCTCTCCCCTCCTTCCCTTCCCTCTCTCTCTCTCCTCAATTCCCCATTCCACCAACGCACGCACCAACCCGCCATTCCCTCCCAAAACCAAATCCCCCGTCGACGCGAGAGGAATCCAATCCTCCGAATCGTCTCCCAATCCCGCGCGCCGGTGAGCTCCCGTTCCGATCCCGCCTCAGTTTTTTTTTTCATTTTTTTTGCGCTTTATTTGGTGATCCAGCGCGCGAGCGAGCGAGCGAGCGAGGCGATGATTTTTGGTGTTTTTTTTGGATGGGGAGCATGGAGTTCATGGATGGGATCGACGGCGTTCGTCGTCGCGTCTAGTCTCGTGGTGGTTCGGCGAATGCGGTTGCGGCTGCTGTTTGTTTGTTGCGGGTGGTCTCGCTGGACGCGGAGGCGTGCGCATGACGCTATGGTGTTTTGGTGTGTGGGCATCTGGTTCCGTGACGCGGCGATGCTGCTGCTGCTGGGTTGGGGTGACCATTCAATTTGTGTGGCTATCGGATTCTGCGTTTTTTTTTTTGGGTTGTGTATGCGTTGCTTCATCATGCAGGCATGCGGTTGTTTACTGCCTCCAATCCCATGGTCGATTTCATGATTCCGGTACTTGTTAGTGTCGTGGGATTGTGCATACATGTGATTTTGAGGTGCGTTGCGGTGGAAGGCAGTGATCATGATTTATAAGGTGTCATGCGCCTGTGGAGTGGAAGTAGTTTTTGTCAATTCGGTCGTAATATGAATAGTTCGGTGTAACATGGTTGAGAAATTTCAGAGGGTTGTGTATACAGTGCCTCTGGAGTTGATTCTGCTGATTTGTTTCTGGGGTGAATTGCCCCGGTTATATGTGCTTCATGCGTCTCTGATGATTGGTTTGGTTGTGTTGTGGTTTGATCATGAACCCTGTTTGCTTCTTTTTTGGGTGATGAGTTCAGCATGCAGTTCTGGGGTGACTTATCCTGTAACTGTGATTGAAGCAATTATTTCTGTCACTTTTCAGTGATTACTCCATGTTGTTGCTATGAGCTCAAATTGAATGCATAGTTGGTTGTAGAAGCGCGGATGCTTTTCGCATCTATTACGATGCAATCAGAACATATTCTTATTGTTTGCTCACTTCTTTTCTTTTTTTGTTTTTGTTTTGGCAACGTTCCCATTCCTAATTATTTGATGGCTTCTAACTGTTCAAAATTCCATCACCCTCTATGTCAACCCTGAACAAAATGCAGATTGGCACATTGGATTTCCTTTTGCTTTAAGGAAGTTATCCTATTGCATATAATTTTCATATTTGTTGCTCCCAGTGTAGATCGACAGATACAATTGCTAATTAGTACAAAATGGCTATAAGCTTCAAATATTGGGATGACTGCTTGGATCCAGAGGATATGCAATTAATGTGGGCTGATCCTCATGTAAGTAAAGAGTGGATTGATGCTGGGGAAGGGCCGGGACAGAAGGTTCACCTGTCACGGGATCCTGATGGTGAGGCATATCTCACACAAACTGAAATGATGGTGAGTGATCAGCTGTAGCCAGTGTATCTTGACATCTAAAACCTGCATTAGTGGCAATCAAACCAAAGTTCATGTCATTATCTAAAAAGAAAAAAAACCAAAGTTCATGTAAATCATTGTATTTATTTTTTCGCAAGCTGTATTTCTGTACGTATCGTGTCTATTTTTTGAGCAGTTTATATTATACTTGGTTGTTACTTTTGAACAATAATTTCCTTGTACCTATGCTGTAGTGGCGTTAAATGCAGGTTATACTAGTGCCAGCAAATTGATTCACCGAAGTTTAAACAAGACAAAAATCAATCAGTGCTGTGAGTTAAGAGTCTAACATAATAGTTTTTACCTATATTTATCCAAGTGACTAAATTACTGTTGACAACTTTGTTACTGCTGCGCTGATCTAAACAAATTTTCGAAGCTATGGAAACAATAACAAATTAAGGGTCCTTTGCTTTATTTTCTTTTTCAAAACTGTACTTGTTATCTACTTATCTGTACAATTTTGGCTTAAAACTAAATTCATTGATTCTTCAGGCGGTGGCTGCAATTACTGTTCATAAGCATTTCAAGTCACAGCTAGACCCGGTATTGCTTCTTTTGCTTTATGACTTATCAATATTTGGATTTGTATATGTATCAAAGACACTGCTGAAGTACATTAAACATTATTTTTTACTTTCATCACTCATGCAGTATATGATAGGTGCCCTTGCAGAAATTGCAAGTGGAAGGAGACTCTTTGTCGATAATTATGACCGAAAGACTAAGGAGATCAAAGCTGGCATAATGCAGGTGACAATAGAAGTTGCTCAATGGCTTGGCAGGTACCATGAAACCTTGATAACCCAGATTTAGTAACTATCTTTTCTTCTATGTTTTCATACTAAATATTTGTTTTCTTTACCTTTAACAAGGGAATTGGGTTACAAGTATTATGACATTGAAGAAGATGCTAATTTGCTCTATTGGCCTTTTGTGAATGTCTACTTTGGTGCTGCTTATGCAAAATGGCTATTCTCATGTGACGATAAGTATGTATTTTGATTGTCAGATTATGCTTGACCATTGCAATTAATTTCCTTTGACATATTTTATCTTCTACTGCCAAACATAATTACTTGCCAAAAACACTTCAGAGAAAGAACTGAAGAATTCGTTGTTAGAGCTTACAAGGGAGGCAAAAAGAAGGCTGTTCACAAATCAACTTCCCCCATCTTTCAACGCTATCTTTATGTGAAGGAGGCCTTGCTGTCTATGAGGTTTCACCCTTAATAATTTATTTCCATATTCAGCTTCTAACTTTCTTATTCTGTGAAAAGTGTGCCTTAAGCACTAAACAAATTCGTTTCTCTTAGCACCTGTGAACCTCCAAGGTCCAATTTTAGAGGTATTGAGGTTATTTGGAAGCCTAGCAAACCTTTAAGTTGGAGAAAATTGGTTTGAACTTCTCAAAACAACTGGCCATTGAAGATTTGAGGTAAAAAACCTAAAATTTTACTTATGACATGTCACATAATTTAAAGAACAGTAGTTTTCATCTCAAGTTTGAACCCCTGAACCTGACCCCTGAGCTGTGCTATGTGGACCTTCTATGCTGGCAGGTTAAACACATGATGGACAGCAATATGTTTAGTGACTTTCTTTACTGTAATTCATGCTCACCTGACCTGTCGAAATACCAAGTTAATTAAAACACTGATATTTCTTAATTCAAACATGAGTGTTTCTTGATGGTTGCATCATTTGCTCGGCCTCTCAAATATATTCAGAATTTCAAGCTCTTCTGAGTTTTCCGTTAGGGTTAGAAACATATTCAATGGATCGAAATCCAAAAGTTATGTTTGTAGAGGAGCTATTATTTTATTTTACTTTAGTTCCAGTTCTGAACTTGCTGACAAACTGCTTCTTGCTATTTTGTCTGCAGACAGCCAGAAAGTTTTAATGATTTAACTCCTAATCTCCTAGCCAATTCCTCGAGCACAGGTTAAATTTTACTGTGTTACCTTTTTATTTATTTAAATAATTTTCTGCTATTCAAGGTTTGTGGTTTGTCGAGATGTTAGCAAATACTAGGTTATGATTTTAGGATGTTGATTCTTGTTTTGATTCCAGAGAATTGATATGCTTCTAACATTCAAGCTGACATCTTGTTATCACATTTGAGTCAGAAGGACAGTTGATTTATTGGGATTCCAAGGTATCAGAGGTAGATATGGATGCGATGTGGAGTCAGCCCGATGTGATTAAGGAGTGGACAAAATCTGGTGAGAGGCGAGGAAATGTGAGGTTTTCTCATGACTCCAAGAGGAGGCCTTATCTTTCTCGAGTTGAGGTGAAGGTAAAAGATGATTCTTTAAATTTTTTGTAGTTACTTTGCATTTGCAGTATACGGGCCACCTTTTTTTACCATGCTAAAATGTTGACATACATATGTTTTTGTGTAAAGCTACCACTATAATCTTATTAATATTCTTGTGCTGTTAAAATTGCATCCTTGATTTGATCAAGTGAACTGCTCGTGTGGATGGCATGTAATAAAATCAACTTTGTAGTTTGTAGGTGTGGCTGCAGTGCTATACATTTCCTATCATGCCATACAAATTACATGGACAAATATTGTTCACAGAAGCATTACTTATACTTGGTGCCATAGCTATTCCTTCTTTTTGGAACAATCCCAGACTCATGCCTTGTTTGATACAATAATCCTATATCTGCTCACCAGTAAAATGTCTTGCAGGTTTCATGTATTTGTTATTTTATTCACCAATACTTAATTTCCATCCATCTCAGACTTACGTGGTTGTAAATTTTTTTCTCAGGCTGTTGCTGAAATAACCATATCACGTCATTTGAGCTCAAAAGGAGTAACACCAGTAAGTTTTTTTGTTTATAAATCAGTGAACATATAGTATCTGTATAATGATACTAATTATGTATTAAATTTGTTGTTTTATATCGCTTTCTGTATCACCTATAACATGGCCCTCCCTTATTTTAAATATGTGATGAGGCCAACATTTAGGCAAACTGAAGAAATTCTTTTGGCTCTTAACCTATTTGCTTTGTTGCATGGTATTGCTTTTCTAAGTCATACATTTAGTACTTTAGCATGATTATCCATCACATCAGTGCTGATACTCATCTTGTTCTTTTTTTACATAAAACTCATCTTATTTTGGTTGTCGATTCATGTAACATCATTGCATTAGTTAATGGATTTGTTGTATATTTTGTCAACAAAGCATTTTCTCTATTTTGTGGATATTCTAAAATTATGCAAATGTCCATAGATTGTGTTAGTATATATGTCCTGGTCAAAATGGTGAATAAAGATGGTGTTGGCCTATTTGGGTGCATGTTACAATAACAGTATTTACTCTTATTTTAGCATTCCAAGAAAGCTTGAGATATTTAGTAAATTCTCTATTCTCATTCATATCTGCCAGGAAGCCCTAGCTGCTCTTGCTGAGGTGTGCAGTATGCGTTTTGTCCATGGTGTTCGTTCTCGTACTGGCTTGATGGGAATAGACTACCCTACTGCAGCATGGCTTTACAGGCAAGCATGAAATTAAGTTTACAGTTGTGTTTTAATTATCTATAAAGCTTTGCTTTTTGTCTAACAGTTTTGGTGAGCTATTTGCTTAATCCTAGTAGGACCTTACCAGTTCCTTTTGCCCTTTTACTAGTTATGAATGCTTACAGAGTAATGCACTGTTCAGGATGGCTGAACTATTGTTTGGACTATACCTTCATACATATTCATATGGTGATTTAAACTATGATAATTTATTTTGGTCTACTACTTGTCTAGTTTATGTTACTTCAGATGTCAGGCAATCATATTCTAGAGAAGATTAATCTGGAAAACAAATAGGCATAGGAGAAGTTAGCTGCTTAGGCTATCAGAAGACACACTGCAGTTACTCTCGGTCGGTTATAATATTATAGTTTTCATGAAGTTATCTTCACTTGCAGTTAGCTTTTTCCTGCAGAGATTGTGGCCATAGGGCGTATACTGTCAGCTCCGTAGATGATCTATACAATCCTTTTACATCAATGTACTTTGGCGCAGCTTACTTGGGATGGTTGTCACAATATGAAGGAAGGTTAGTGAGATTAAATGCTAACATGTTTTCAGCATAGTGAATAAATGTACTAGCGAAATGAAAAAAAAAACTGACACATTCTATCTTCTCTCTTTCAGAGAAAGAAGTCACGAGTTCATTGTTCAGGCATACCTTGGGGGACCAGAAAACGTTAGCCTTCAGGAGACTGGCCCATTTTGGAACAAATTCCTGGAGGCCTTAAGACTATACCAAGATCCAAAGAAGTATGCTTCTCCTTGCTGTTAACTTAAAATGGTATTTTTGTTTATAAGGTGGGCCTTACTGACCAATCAAAAAATGAGAGCATAAGTGTGTGAGTAGCTCTCATCAACATTTTTAGTAGCATTGACATCAAATATTCAAACTTACTCAAAAATGCAATTTTGACATGTTTTTAAAGTTTAGCTTTAAAACTACTCTAATTTTTGTAACTATATGTCTTATGAAATAGCTATACTAAAATAACTGAGTGATTGTACCTTTTCAGGGAACAAGCAAGCTGTTGTATTTTGTAAAAGTTGTCCTGATGTGCCCTTATGTCTTTGTTTGGTGAAGGTATTTATTTGATCCTAAGTACAATTTTCATCCTATTTTGCTACCTCAAATTTACAAGATGTGCATGTTTCTCATTGTATTATCTCATTCAATTCAAATACGTCTGAGCATAGCAAGGACTGCATAGTATGAAAATGTTATTTTACTGATATGGTTGTCTTACGAGACCCTTCATCCCACAATGTATGGTTTTGTGTAGTGTGTCTAGCTAGTCCCTCCCTAGTTGGCATAATATTTATTTTAACAGTTTGTGCAGACTAGTGCATGCTGATTTTTATTCTTATAGATAAGGGATAAGTTACTACTTGAGCAGTAGCACATCAGATAGGCAATTCTAGCCGACAGATTGACCTATTCCATACTCTCTGTGTCCCTAAATATAAGGGATTTTGGTTGGATGTGACGTATCCTAGTACTACAAATCTGGATATGAAGTATGTTCAGATTCATAGTACTAGAATACATCCCATCCACCCAAAATTCCTTATATTTTGGGATGGAGGGAGTACCTTGGAATCTTTAATAGTCACTTGGATGTGAGTTTTGACATTGATGCATAAACTCTCCTCATTTTATGTCAGAGAATGCAGTTGGATTGTATTATTGCAAAAATGCATTTATTGATATGAGATGATATGGCAGTCCATCTAGTATTATATATTTTAAGGTAATCACTTGCAGTTAAGCATAAGGGTAGATGTGATTTTGTTTTGGATGCCCCAATTTTTTTCTTCTTTGCTGGTCTGGGTTTGTCTGCCACAGTTTTTCTCTTCTTCCAAGTACTATGGCGCAGTCACACAGATTTCCTGTGGGTTCTCAAAAGAAAAGCACCTTTAATTTCCAGATAATTCTGATCGCAAGTAGTAAGCTAAGCCTTCTTTAATTTGAGTCAACTTGGAATAGTTGAGCTGGGGGCACCAGTTGCAGTCATTACTCATAAGTTCTATACCAACATTCAGTGGTGGTTTCTCGTTTGTTTGTATTTATCTAACTCTTGTTTCTGCACATTAAATTTGAAAAGTATCATCAGTACTCTATATAAATTAATATCAAAAGAAAAATGCTACTCCCTCCGTTTCACAATGTAAGACTTTCTAGCATTGTCCATATTCATATATGTGTTAATGAATTTAGAGACACATATATATCTAGATTCCTTAACATCTATATGGATATGGGCAATGCTAGAAAGTCTTACATTGTGAAACGGCGGAGGTATATCCATGATTAGTGAACTATTAATGGCGTCTGTTCTGCAAAATTTCAGGCTCCCACTCAAAGGATTCAACGCTAACTAGCAACGGGCTTGCTTGGATTCCATTTGTACATATTTGGTCATTTGATACCCTGCTCGTGTTCCAGTTTTCAACTGTGGTTGATCCCCACTGGGTGCTCACAGAGCTATGCCCTCCTCTTCTTCTGTCCATATATTTTGCTTTTCTGTACTAAATATATTAACGGCCTTTTTTTTTCTGCATACCGGTATGTTATAAAAATCACTTTTGATATATAGATACCCAAAAGGAATTGACTCAAACAAAATTAAAAAGGAAAAAGGTTCAATTACATAAGACTACTGTTTTAGGAAAAATGTTTCATGGAGGATTGTTAGTTCTTCATTACAGACTAGAGAATGTAAAATTTTCAGGCATATTGCTTATGGCTCATTATACATCTCAAATGAAATTAGGGTCCCCTTTTTTATTTTTTATATCATTCCTATGATGAGCCCTGGAATTTGGTACTAAAGAAAGGCATGGTCCAATACATGTTTTTGGAGTAGATTTGTCAGCTATAGGCGATTTCAGCTTAGATTTTGAAACAGGACCCAAAAATCACTGTTACGTTGCAGTTCTGAACAGTGCCATGTTATCGTGTTAGGATTGCAGAGCCCCCAGTACTGAATTCACAGTCATTTATATATCACGCAGCAAGAAATGGTGGCAGCTTGAATCGTAGCCGACAAATCTGTTGATCCCATGCCAAATTGCGATGTTTGACTCCATCTGATGATTATTCCTGCCAGTTTACCATAAAAAAAAATTTCTTCCAAACTTGCTGATCTCATGTGATTCTTATTTAGAATACCTGCAACTAGTAGACACTTTCCCCAGTTGTATCTCATCTCACTGCCTGAGTTAAGTTAACCATTAACTTTGTACCAGTTCAAATCAGTGACAATCACCAAACCAAACAGTGCGAGCATGTGAGCTCGATCTTGACAAGCAAGCAGAACTGTAGCATGAACCACCAGCTGCTGAGGATCCAAAGCAAATGGGGATCATCAGATCGATTGCTCATCGGCGTACTACTGGAGATGATGGGCTCCAGGGCAACCTTGTCGGCAGTTGCCTTCCAGGATGGATGGATTAAACCCTAAAGTGCATGAACTTTTTCCAACTTTTCTAGTACTACAACTACACTGGTTAGGAATCATGGAGCCGTTCGCTTTAAGCAATGTCTTCTCATCAACAAGCTCAGCTCATCAGTCCAATCCATTCGCAGAATTCAGGGGAGTGTGATTAGTACTACTATAATCCAGAGAGACAGGGCATCTTGGTTAGGGAAGAATGTGTGCAACGTGGGTCCTCCCATTGCCTGCCCATTAGATCACAGCATATTCACATGCACACTGTCTGTCCTCCCGTGGATGTGTATGCATGGCCACTGCTGCAAATTTGGGTCGATTTTTGTTGGAGAAGAATTTGTTCTTTCAAAGGTGACGTCGCAGTAGCAGAGGATGAAACCGTTGTCTGCCTGGAAATTTCTTGAAAAACTTTACGCAGTTTTATTTCTCTCTCAAAAAAGGGGAAAAACAAAAAAACAAAAACGGTTTGCGAGATGGGATCAGATGCGTGGGTGGGCACGGTGAGGCTGCCACGGCGGTGCGTGATGGGGGGATCTCATCGCATCGGTGGCGCGGCGCGACAAGCAGCGGCCCATGACGACTGTGGCGTCCGCCGTGGCTGCATGCGCCGCTTGTGCGTGGACACAGTAAATTCCTAACTAGTGAAACTCAACGTCATGTATCTTATCGTTAGAGTTTTTTTTAAAAAAAAAAAACGGAAGGAGAAGGTCCTGACTGCTGAGGCTCACCATCCATCATGGGTCCACGTGTCAGTTACTCATTTTTCTCCGAAGCATGAGCGGCACTAATCCATGGTATTGCTGTTGGACCACACGCTGCCCACCGTTTTCGACTTTTCTGGAACCAAGAAACCAATCTGCATGGAGTTTCCAGCGTTTAGCAACGTACTACGGACGATGACCTGCTTACCATTACTCCGAGTTACTGCTACCTAGTGCCCCAGTCCAGGCATAAACCCACATAGTTTGTGTGCTGAATTTGTTTCAATTTAGGGCCTGTTTAGTTCCCAAAAAGTTTTTTCCAAAAACATCACATCGAATCTTTAGACACATATATGAAACATTAAATATAGAATTTTTTTAAAAAGCTAATTACACAGTTAGGACGGAAATCGCGAGACGAATCTTTTGAGTCTAATTAGTCCATGATTAGCCATAAGTGTTACAGTAATCCACATGCGCTAATGACGGATTAATTAGGGTCAAAAAATTCGTCTCGCGGTTTCCAGGTGAGTTATGAAATTAGTTTTTTTATTCGTGTCCAAAAACCCCTTTTAACATTCGGTCAAACGTCCAATGTGGCACCCTAAAATTTTCTTTTCGCGAACTAAACAGCCCTTACAAATAGAACCAAATTTGGCACTTGTTCAAACTAGTGGAGTACTAGGACACCAGTATCTTTGGACATCTTTGAAATCATGATTTGTAATTTTGTATGGTTTTAATATGGTCACAGTCTCACAGACACACATTTTATTTGACTTAACCTTGGACCTATAAATAAACACATCTCACCTCACCTCACCTCACCTACCAAGAAAGCCAGCCAGCACACACTCTCACTCTCTCACTACTCCACTCTGCCACCGCTCAGCGGCAAGCCGGCAATGGCGGATGGGCGAGGTGGCGTCGGCGGCCAGCCGCCGTCGTCGGTGGCGGCGGCGGCGGTGGTGGCGCGGCGGTGCGGCTGCGGTCTGGGCAGGCTGGTGCGGCGCCTCCGGCGTCAGGCGGCGCTGTGCGCGGCGCGTCCGGCGCCGGCGTCGAGCCGGCTCCGCGGTGGCCGGTGCCAGTACGACCCGCTCAGCTACGCGCGCAACTTCGACCGCGGCGGCGTCGACGTCGCCGGCGGGCTGGACGACGACTCCGACGCCGCGCAGCTCTACTACAGCTACACCTTCTCCTCCCGCTTCGTCCTCCCCGCCGCCGCCGCCGCCGCCGCTCGCGCCCACCCGAGCAGCCTCGCCGCCGGCCGCACTGCTCCAGCCACGGCCACCCATTAGATTTTTCTTTTCGCTTTTTCTTGATGATTTTGAGCTTCTTCTTTTGTTTCTTCTCGATCGCCATGCATCTCCCAGCCATGGCTGCAAATGAGATGAGATCGAAGGGAAGGATGAAATTGTGAATATTGGAAGAGAAATAATAGCACGACATCGATCGATCTATCTATCTCCTGCAAGCGAAGATCCGTTCATTTGTCGGATGGATGTGTACTGTACAGATGTGATTAAGATTAATTAATTGCGATCGTGCACCGATCTTGGGGAACCCAAGCAGCTATCTGAGAGTGTAATTGAAGTGATTAGTTGATCAACATGTTGATCAAGATTGCGTATGGCATGGAGAAGGGGAATATATACGTGCGTTCGCTGGATCAGCTGGATGGTGACGATAGATGAATCGTGGATGGATGCGAAGGGAATACTAGACACGATAAGTGATGGGCTAACTGCCTACCTAGCTTTGGTGGACAAAGATGTATGCTCACATAGGATTGAATGAATGTGACGTTTATTACAACGTTTCTGAAACCAAACTCTATCGACTTGTTTGGCAACACGAGGGAAGAGAATTAGGAGTTTACATGATCCATTGATGATGAGATTAAGATGAAAATTTAATTTTTAATCCCAATATCTTATTTGGTAGAGGTGGTGAAAGTCGATAAGAAGTTTGGTTAGAGATCGGGTCATTAATAAAAACAGATGGTTAAGATTTATTTAGGCAAAATAAATAAGGAATTATCTCCCAATTACCACCCCTACCCAGGTATTGAAAATGAGGTAGTTCCTTCCTCAATTCCCCATCCACATCCGGCCATCCCACCAAAATTACTATGTATCCCAACCAAACAAAACAGTTAATAACCTCATCACTTTAAACTTCCAATCCATTATAAAAACTCCCTCCAATCAAACATGTCATATATCTAGATACATCATATTAGAAAATATCCTATTCGATTCTAGTTTTAATATTTTCGGACGAAGGGAATAGTGGAGCAACACAATTATTGTGAATTAAATTTAAAAAAATATACCATTTATTTTTTATTTCTCAGAAATATACTAGATGTAATTTTATTGGCACAAATATACCATTGATATTATGATGTCGATATTATGGTGTCACGTGGAGAATGAGTGAGACCGTGCGAGACTAATTAAGATAATTAATAACTGATTATAATTAATTAATCATTTAATTTTTGAAATACTCTCGCAGACTTGTTGCGCGAGACCGTTCACATCGTCACTTTCGCACAACGGTTCAGAGAAACCATCAGTATATTTGTGTCAAAATTTGCATATAGGGTATTTCTAAGAAAAAAAATAAAAAGTATATTTTCAAATTTAATTTCAATTATTGCTTCACCCTGAAATCACCATTTTCTCTCCAGTTGAGTGAGAGCTCAGCTAGCTAGCGGTTGACGCACCAGGTTCAGTGGGTCACCACGGAAGAAGCTCATCGGACGTACTATCTTTTTTTTTTACGTGGGTTAGTAACGTATAGGCTCTAGGGTTTCCCTTGTTACCGGTGGTTACCGTAGTTATCGGGTTTACCGCGGGGTATGGTAATATAAATACCGCGGTAACCTCCTTAAATTTAAATAAATTTAAAAAATAATTTGAATTTTTGATAAATTTTGCACGGTTTTTTATGGTTTTCCACGGTTACCGCGGTAACCGCACGGTAACCGTGCTTACCGCCGGAGCGCGGTAACTCTGGCCCCGGCGTTTTGGGAAACCCTGATAGGCTCACAACTCACAGGCTATAGGGTTCACATATTTAGGCTTGGTTTAGTTCCTAATTTTTTTTCTCAAAAAGTCATATATAGATAAAAACAAAAACTAATTACACATTTTGTATGGAAATCACGAGACGGATCTTTTGAGGATAATTAGTCAATGATTAGCCATAAGTACTACAGTAACCCACATATGCTAATGACGGTTTAACTAGGTTCAAAAGATTCGTCTCGCGGTTTCTAGGCGAGTTATGAATTTAATTTTTTTATTCGTGTCCGAAAACCCCTTCCGATATCCGGTCAAACATATGATGTGACACCTAAAAATTTTCTTTTCACGAACTAAACAAGGCCTTAGCCACTCAAAATCAAACAATTGTAACTGCTGGTTCTGTCCACCACTGCAAAAATTACGGGGGTAGAGGAGGAAGGCTGCGTTCGTTCCAGATACATTGAGCGCACGCTTCCCAAACTACTAAGCGGTGTTTTTTTTTAAAAAAAAATTCTATAGGAAATCTGTTTAAAAAAATCATATTAATCCATTTTTGAGTTTTAAAATAGTTTATACTCAATTAATCATGCGCTAATGACTTACCTCGTTTTGCGTATCTTCCCAATCTTCTCAGATGAGATGCCCGTGCATGCATGCTGATTGTAGTGCATATGAATGTGTGTGTGTGTTTTTTTTGCGGGGAAATGTGTTAAAGATTGAACTATGGTTGCAAGTTTCTAGCTATATATGAGTTGTATAATCGGATTGTACGTATATCAGTACTTTTTAATTTTTTATAATACTAGAAATACAGTAATCTCTCTGCGCGCAATTGTACATGAGCACTTGTGTCCATAATGTTTTTTTTTTAAAAAAATCCATATCCTATTTATTCACATTAGCATCGAGATTCATTATATCCTTTGCGAAGTCTCCAGCTTTTGTTTTGTTTTGATCGTTTTGACTTATAGCTGATAAGGCATAGAAAAATGAACAAAGCCAACAAAATAAATTACAGATATAAAATTTATATTTGTGTTATTCTTGATTTAAAATCTAATATTAAAAATAGGCTAAGATAAAAAAAATGTAGAATCAAATTAGAAATTTCAAAATTGAGCTACGGCTGATAAGATAACCCATCAGAGGCTTTGTGAATGGATGTGATTGTGTAGAGCGTGAGGTGAGTTTAGAGTTGGTTGCGCGTTAGAAATTTTTACGGTGCGAAATGGGCTATAACGAAGGGAGGCAAATTAGACTTTTTTCTCCAACAGAAACAACGCGGAATTTTACCAGGCCTGGAGCCCACATAGAGAAACCTCCGGCCCACCGAGCCCACCACCCCCGCCCGCGGCCGCCGCTGCCTCTCTCCTCGTCTTCCTCGCGCTGACTCTTCTCCTCCTCCTCCTCGCGTCCTTCTGACCCAAGGGCGACCGCGTCTCCCTCTCTCTCTCTCTCTCCGCCGCCGACGCCGAGGGCTCCACGAGAGGGAGGTGGGCGGCGCGGCCCTTCGCCGGAGGGAGCGCTCTCCGCCGCCGCCGCTCCCGCTCCCGCCGGCGCGGGAGATCCGGGCGTCGTCTCTCGGTAAGCCCCGCCTCCCGCCACCTTTCCTCGATCTCTCTGTTCCCAATTCCGTGGGTGATCCCGTTTGGATTGTTGGCTGCATGCGTGGGTTGGGTGTTGCTAGCTTGGGGGGGGGGGAATTCTCTCTCGGCTCGTAGCTGAGGGAGGAATCATCGCCTCTGTTTCTAGGGCTGTGGAGCTGATCCTGGCAGCATATGGTTAGGTTTCGATTAGTCGTCGGCTTCGTTTCGATTGCTTGATCCTGCTTAGTTCTAGTTTGGATTTTTAGTTTGCTATATGTGTGGAGAGACGTGCGGTCTCGTCTTGGTAAATTTGTGTTCATGAGTGTTGAGTTGGTCCCGTGTCATGGCCGCCTTGCCACTGCCCAGAATTCTAACCCTAGCTTGTTTGCCGGAGTTCATGAGCTCGCCGGAGAGGCGGAGGGTTTGTAGTTGCTGGTGTGGTGGCGCCGCGCCGGAGCCTTGGAAGGAGCTGCTGTAGAGGAGAATTAGGTTTGATGTTCTCTTTGATTTGGGAATGGAGCTTACTAACTAGTGAAATGGAGCTTCAAAGAAGTGAGATAACCAAGATGCCCTCCTTCACCATCGCGATCGTACTCTCCTCTGTTTCCGATCTGCAGTGCGAGCTGGAGTTCCTCGCCTGCGTGACTAGCAAGAAGCACGGTGTGGATGGATGACCACCCTGGCCTTGCCCCGTGTTAGGTCCGCACCTGCATCTTCTTGTAAGAACAGTGGGTCAACTCGTAGGAAACCATTACCATGGTCAGTGATGATGGATTGCTGACGCGCGCTTAACGTAGTTCTGCCACGAGTGCAAACTTCCTAGATGCAAGAGTACTGTTCTGATGCCACATCTAAATTTGTTTATTTTGGTGTTGTTTTCATACTGTTAGGATCTCATGATTTGCTGTCTAGATGTTCTGTCAAAACAGGGCACTCCTAATTTCCTACCATTCGTTGCATTGTTTTTTCATGAAGTGATATGATGATTTTCTCTTGGAGTGATATTTTCTCTTAGTGATGGATCATAATTACATGATCACCCACATCGCGTATGTGTTAGGACGCTGCTCTCTTCTCTTTTTTTTTCCCTAAAAAAAGACGTGATTGGTCCCATGCATTTAATGAGTCTGAGTTTTGGAATGTATCTAAATTTGCCTTTTTCTGTGTTCAAATGTCACGTGACATGATACGTGCCAACTTTCCTTGTTTGTCCCAAATGTGTGGACCTCCTGGAACTACAAGATTGACATATTCTTCAAAGAATCCAATTAAGGTAGTTGCACCCCAACCTTAAGCTTAACCTGACAGCACTTTATTTTAGTACTGATGGTGTGTCAAACAGAGAGTAAGATGGCAATTTGGATCACTTGGCTTCTTGATATGTTGTTCAAAGTTAATAATGACATAGCGGATCATTTTTAACATTTCTTACATATTTAAGTGTGCATTTTTTTTCCTACTTGCTTGAATGTTGTAGTCTTCTTTTACACACACTTCTGGTTGACATGGAAAAAAATATTTATGAGATTTGGCATCTGGGTGTCATAGACTTAATTCGGTTTGATGTAAGTAGATGAGATGCTGCGAGTAAATTAGGAGGAACACATAGCCATGGTATGAACTGCCCTGCCATGACAGCTGCAACTGCAGCTGGGTAACTACACCAAATCCAGGCCATCCTTGGAGTGTTGGATATCCAACAGTAGAGGGGAGAAAAAAAGCCTTGACTAGAAATACAATTCATTCCGTATTTTCCCATCTCCCATCTCAGTTATCCAAACATTGATTTGTCAGTCAATGAGCTAAAACCTGTGCAATTGGCTTGGAACTAGCCGATCTGTGCCCTCTGGACACAAATGCCATCATTCTGGGAGACTAATAAGTCATAACTGGAGCCATGGGGGCATAGCTACCTTTTGTGGGTTATCTTTGGGACCTGCTTCTACCGGAAAACATCAAGACATGTGATTTATGCTGTACATGCATGAGAAGCTTCAAACTCTGTATGATGCATACTTATCCATGTTGGTTTGTAATAGCAGCCCACAAATTCACTTGTCCGTAACCAGTTTGACCGATAATGGCAGGGCTTGAATGTTCATGCAACTACCCACTTGCACAATATGGATAGTAGGAGTACAAAAGGTAATTTACCATCCCATCACAAATCATAGGGATGATTTTAATGGAAGGTTCTACTTTCTGTTTAGCTTGCACATGTTCTATCACATATACTGGTAGTTATGCATCTGTAATTCTATTCCACATTCAATGGAAGTCTCTTTCTGTTTAGAATGCTTAATGAACCAATAGAGATGAAAGTATTGAGATCATGAGTTGTGCTTAAAGTGCAACAGCAAGCTACATGGAACCGCAGCACTCAAGTTGCTCATTAATTGTACTATAAGCAACAAAAGTCGCAATCAAGTTGCCTTTGTTCCTTCAATCATTTTTTTCCCTGCATGCAAGTTTGTATGTCAGATACAATTTTGTAAAGGAAAAGCAGTGAGTTCCATTCTTATACCAAGGTATTCTCACTCATGTGTATTGTATTTGACAAAATACAAATTTAGAACCTATCATGATCTTTCTCGTTAATCTATACAAAAGATCAACTGATCAATACTTGCAACTGTTTCCCACAACGACAGGGCCTTTGGCTTTGGACGGACAAGAGCTGACATGGAACCATCCTCACAGCCTCAGCCTGTGATGGGTGTTGCCACTGGTGGGTCACAAGCATATCCTCCTCCTGCTGCTGCATATCCACCTCAAGCCATGGTTCCTGGAGCTCCTGCTGTTGTTCCTCCTGGCTCACAGCCATCAGCACCATTCCCCACTAATCCAGCTCAACTCAGTGCTCAGCACCAGCTAGTCTACCAACAAGCCCAGCAATTTCATCAGCAGCTGCAGCAACAGCAACAGCAGCAACTCCGTGAGTTCTGGGCTAACCAAATGGAAGAGATTGAGCAAACAACCGACTTCAAGAACCACAGCTTGCCACTCGCAAGGATAAAGAAGATAATGAAGGCTGATGAGGATGTCCGGATGATCTCGGCAGAAGCCCCCGTTGTCTTCGCAAAGGCATGCGAGGTATTCATATTAGAGTTAACATTGAGGTCGTGGATGCACACGGAGGAGAACAAGCGCCGGACCTTGCAGAAGAATGACATTGCAGCTGCCATCACCAGGACTGATATCTATGACTTCTTGGTGGACATAGTTCCCAGGGATGAAATGAAAGAAGAAGGGCTTGGGCTTCCGAGGGTTGGCCTACCGCCTAATGTGGGGGGCGCAGCAGACACATATCCATATTACTACGTGCCAGCGCAGCAGGGGCCTGGATCAGGAATGATGTACGGTGGACAGCAAGGTCACCCGGTGACGTATGTGTGGCAGCAGCCTCAAGAGCAACAGGAAGAGGCCCCTGAAGAGCAGCACTCTCTGCCAGAAAGTAGCTAAAGATGATACAGTGAAGTTGTGACATTGATATACATTGTCCTGTGAACTTAGGGCCTCTAAAACTCAGTGCTCTTGTCAAAACTATTCCCATGATTGTTGGCTGAAACGGGTAATCTGATTAGGTCTTAGGCTTTCCTAATGTTAGTTCTGCTCTGCTATGGCAGCAGTAGAAAAAAAAAAGATTGTGATTTGGTAGGTGATTTGCAACTAATGTAGTAACTGTACCTTACCTTTCATCAGTTTCTAATCCAATACTCAAAAGTGCTGGCATGTGGAGACCCTTGTATGAATTGAGTGTTTGTTCATGTCATGCATCAGTCTGTTGCCTCATTTATCAGTCATCATGCCTCCTGCTTTGCAAGAATCTTGCCTCCCTGATTTGGCAGTCATCAAAGCAGAGGCTGATGTGCAAAGCATCAGGACTGCTGCTGCTGAAGCATGGAAAAAACAGATGGTTGGTTTCTTTCTGTTGAATCCTATTCCTATTTGTATGTGTGAAAGTTAACTGCCTGTGTATTGACTTTGGATGAAAGTGGGTGGGACAAGTACCCTTGCATCGATAGTCATATCCTGTATAAACTTTGGGCAAATTCTCTAGCTTGTTCACTGAACTCTCAAATTTCTGGGTTTACTGTTCATAAATGCTCGTCTTCTTCAGGATAAATTTAGATTGTAGTACAGTCCATAAGCACAAAACGCACTTCATTTGGTATCTACAGTCCAGGTACTTGTAGCTGAATGCCTGAATTTGTGCCTAGCTGCTAGCAGGCAAGCAAGCGGATGGTTTTGAGTTTGGTGGATCTACAAGTTCGACTCCGTTTTATATGATAGCCATCAAGTTACGTATCAGAAGCATAAGATTTCTTGCTACACACCTTATCATATGTCTGAAGCTCCAACCCAAATGGGGCATTTTTATTACCACAGTTTTAGGTAGATTAGGACTTTTCAGAGTACAGGATTGTGAGAACATAGAAACATAAAAAATGCATGAGTAAAGCGTCATGCCCATTAATTGAATTCCTATAGGAACTTAAAACATATAAAATTTCAAAATTACTGTTTGGATGACACAAACTTTATGTTACTGGAAGAGAAAACCATGAATTTCTCCGAAATTCCTATAAATTTTAGGAGAGTTATTCTCTATTGTTCCAAAGAACCACACATGAATATTTTTTCCATACGAATCAAATCCTTCAAAATTCCTCTAATTTTTCTTTGTGGAGCCCTTGAACATGGGTAATGTGCTGGTAGCAAGAACTAATTAATTAGTGGATCCATTGTACATGCATGGTATCTAACGTAGCTACTCCCTCCGTCCTAATATAAGTGTAATCCAATACAGATGTAATATATTATAGAACTATAAAATTGTTTAGATTCATAGTTTTAATATATGTTATATTTGTACTAGATTTTACTTATATTGAGACAAAGAAAATATTTTATTCTCTTTAAAGTTTAGAGACAGTAGGTATATAGGCATCCCGCTGGTAGAAGCTGCATCAACTTGCTTGTTGCTGTAAACAAGGCACGACTTAACTTCGGAAAACACAGACCGGATATATATGGTGATGGTTTTGCGTAAGTCCTTTGGGGTTGCTCCATCGGCCAACTCCTCCATCGACACACCTAGCTACTACATTCAGATCATATCGAAGCTTATTTTAAGTTTACACTACGTATCTTATGTGCAATAAAAATGAAACCCCTTCTGTTTCATATTATAAATCGTTTGATTTTTTTAATAAATTTCATTCAACTAAAAGAAGTTTGACTTAAAAAAAATAAACGACTTATAATATGGGAGTAGTGAATTTTACCCCAACAGTAGACCGCGAGGGATAGCTGTTACTGTGAGGATGAACGACAGATGTGACTTTTATAGACACATATATACTCTTGCATAGTTGACGCTAGGTTTTTCTTTCTGGAAAAACATATATGCGGTTTCTTTCGAAAGGATATAGAATTAATGCAAATAACAAGGCCTAGCTTTATGGTGTAATTAGCATATTCTATACATAGGTAACCAAGATACGCTCAAATAATTAATTACTTGTCCTCGCAAAAAAAAATAAAAAATAAAAAATTAATTACTTGCAAATATGGCAAAATCTAATCAATAAAAAATCTCAGCAGAAGAAGAAAATAAAGCGAATTAAATTATGATTAATATAGTGGATATGACAGCTACAGTTGGTACAGCTTCAGCTCCACGAAACAAGAATCTCGGAGTGTAGGAGCTGTATACCAAACGGGCCATAATTTTCAGAAACGGAGCGGCAACATCCTTCTGTATTATTCGAGATCTCAAAAATATTTAGTACAACTCTAATTCCACGAAACAAGAATCTTCAAGTAAGAGATGCACCAAATTAAACGTCGCTCGAACCAAAAGACATCCACATATATCGTCGACACAATTTCGTATAATTTTATTATGCTAGGATTAAATGATACATCACAGACCATGATGCATCATCATCATAATTAATTATTCAGTTCTTCTTTGGAGGAGGGAGAGTACAAAAGGTGCATTGGCATCCCCCGGACGTACACTCGCCAACAGCCCCAGCACCTATTTGCGACTTGCAGTTATCATCGCACGTTGTGGGAGAACAGGGGCCGGGTACGTTGACGCTCTGACAATCGGCCGACACCTTCATCGACATATCTGCAAATTCAGATCAAATCAAAACTTATTAAGTTTTCACATGTGCGTATTCTATATAATCAAAAAGAAAAGACGATCTTCGTCATATAAATCGATATATAAACAGTACTACCTCCATCGATCGTACAAGTACTTCATTTTATTTCTAGATATGAACTTGGATAAGAGAAAAGAAATGGAGTTATTTTGGGACGACGAGAAATTTACCCGAATAGTGGGCCGTGAGAGAAAGGGCCAGCAGCAGCGTGCAGAGTAGCTTCACCATCCTATGCATGGCTATAGCTGCTTTACGTATGAATTGACGGCGAATTGCAAAAGGGAGGCTGCGGCAGGGGTGCTGTTAGCTAGGCTAATCCTGGCTGTGAAGGTGATGGCTATCTGATTGGGTTGGCATGGCTTTTTATAGCTGCTATGGCCCCCCTTTTCTTTTTTGAAACACACTATTCGATTTCTTAATAATTTGGAAAAAAGTTATGATTGCAAATAATAAAAGGCCTATCTTTATGGTGTAATCAACATTTTCTATATATACACATATATAGGTGACCAAGATATGCACAAATAAATAATGCCATTAATAACTGATTGTATATGTACAATAGCTAGCCAAATCATACCCAATTAAACTAGGAATAATAGATATGATAGGGTTGATTAATAGGGACCAGATTTAAGCTTGCTGGTATATGCAGGCATTGATTCATTTCAAATATCAATGTAGGGATGGATATCGAGTCAACTCAGTTCATCCGGGCTCATTAGGATAACGAATTGGATTGGCTCAGCTTGCTATGCTAACGCGCTAAACACTTGGCTCGGCTTGTGTGCTAGCTTGAGCCAGAGCCAGCTTATTTAGCTCGTGAGCCAAAACAAAAAAAAGGAGAAGGGGATGCCACGCTCGAACCTCGTTGTGCCGTAGTTGACATTGAGCATGGGGTAGGGTCAGGAACCCGCGGTGGTGCGACGACGTCTGGCGCTGGCGGGTTAATTGACAGCGGATTTAATCGAACCTAGCCTTGGGACATGACGCCGGTGAGGAGCTTTGTCCAAGAGGCCACCATCCCAGAACGGTGGCTCGTTGAGGGGGTTACCTTCCCGGCGGTGCTTGCTCCAAGTGACCGGAAAAACTGATGATGGCCTCAATGAGGTCTAGGCCATCGTCCAGTCGAAGAGGGTGTCCTAGGTGGAGCCGCCGCTACAGGTGACCGAGGCAGTGCTACTGTGGGAGTTCATGTGCGGTGCGGTGGTGGACTTCGACCTCACCATGGACACCTTTGGGTACGAGGAGCTTCCGTACATCATATGGGAAGGGGATAAGGTTGGCACGAGGAGGGGATAAGGTTAGTGCAAATGCGCTTTGTTTGTCCGAGCCTCGTCCAATCCTATTTACTGGTTAAGAGGGGGCAAATATAGTGGAAAACAATTTCTTTCCTTCAATCCAGTATGTGTCCCATATTAGTACTAAATGGTCAGACTACAAGATATCAGTACACAATAAAATAACAAGGGAATACCAGCTAGTATGTACCATCCCTATTTTCTTATATTGAGTTTGTAACGACAAATGAATTACTCCCCCATTCACGAACCCTCGTTAGTTTTGACCAGAACTAGATAATATTAGACCGCTATTTTTTTAAGCAACTTCAAAATTATTAGGATCATGTGTGCGTACTCTTATTAATTAGTTTTAGATGATGAAAGTTTTTATTGAACTAATCGATTATATCAAGGTGATATAACTGCGGTGAGAACAATCGTGGCCTCTGCATAACTAGGATCGATGCATACAACCAAAGCGTAATCTTATTATGTTCGCTTGATGTTTGGGATCGTGGGTAATAGCTTTCATTGGCCATCATACCTCCTGCTTTACAAAAATCTTGCACTCGATTTGGCAGTCCCCAAGGGCCAAAGCTGAGGCTGATCGATGTGCAAAGCATCAGGAATTCAGGACTGCTGCTGCTGAAGCATGGAAGAGCAGATGGTTGCTTTCTTTGTGATGGATATATCCTAATCGATCCATGTCCACAACGTATCCTGTATGAAGTTTCATTCTCTAGCTAGCTCGTTTCCCTACTCTCAAATTCATCACCGCGTTAGCTGTTCATAAAAGTTTATCTTCTTCAGGTCAAATTTAGATTCTGTTCTTAAGCACAAAACAAGTTTTCACACTTCATTAATTTACTATGTATATATAGACCAGTTGCCATATCATTCGTGCTTGAAAATGTTGTCTACAGAACTGCTAACCTACATTCAATAGAAAATAGAATTCCAAATCTTACAGATTTCTGGCTTTCGGATCTACTTTGTTACCGTGCTTCGGTGAGCTTCTCCTCCATCTTCAATGACCTTGATGAACTCTGTTAACTGGCTACAACAACCCCAACCAGTTAGAATATAATTCACAGTTGGAGGTCACAGTAGGATGAGGAAGAGAAGGGAGTTCCCCGGCTTAGAGGAAGGCCGGGGAGGTGTGGCCCAATGGTGGGTGGTGGTGAGAAGGCGACGAGGCGGCGGTGGTGCAATCGGAGCCGTGGGTACAAAGAGGGGGGGGGGGGTAGTAGTGGTGGCGTATCTAATGATGGGAGCCATTGAAGACGAAGGGGGAGGGTATAGGTTAGGGGGATCTCGGTCGAGTGGTTAGGTAGCGGTGGACGGTTATGGTAGATCCCGTGGCAGGATCCAACTAAGAAAAAGGAGAACAAGGTGGACGAATCTCGTCCAACTGGTTAGGTGGTGGCGGATGGTAGAGTCGGAGGACGAGGACGTGGATGGGGCGGGGGCACCTCGCAAAGCTTAGGTAGAATCAATGGTGAGCGGTGGTCGGCGGAGGGCTCATCGGCGTCTAGCATCGTTGGAGGAGTCACCTGTTGAAGCAGAAGGTGTGGATGCATGGCAGCGGCAGCTGGGGAGTAGAAGAGAGGTGGGTGTTAGAAATTGGTATTTGTATTGAATGGTTTGATTGACCTGGACCATTGGATCTTGATCTATCGGATGGATGGAAAAATCGACTGAGATGAGGTGGGTTTCCTTGCACAAGTTACATAAGTCCATGTATCATACTGGAAAACAACATTTTCTTTTTCCTTTAATGGTAGAGTTGGGTATTATTAAATGCATATGTCACAAGGCACAAGCACACAACAGAATACCAAATGAATAGTACTACTAGTTTGTGTGTCATCCTTGAGTCCTTGTTTTGTGTGAGTTAGGAAAGATGAGTCACTCATATTCTCTCCCTTTCCTCAATGGTAGTAGATGTAATGTGTAATCATGTACTGCTGCAAGTATCAGGCTGTAGCTATCAGTCAGACAAAGACAAGATGTGAATTCATACGCACAGACCATGTGTATATGAATTCACATCTTGCCTTCATGATAATCAACAGGTTACAGCTTCAGAAGAGGGGTCCAAAGTATGTACTTATATAGTTGAATCTGTTTCCTAGCTGACTAAAGCTGATTAATTATTTTGAGTTTGGTGGATCCACTATTCGGACTCCATTTATGATTACTATCAAGTATTGTAAGTAATTTGTTTAATTACTTTCTCATCACATAAATTAAATCACCCCTGAAAACAATATATACTACAAGCTGATCTTTCTTGAATACTTTGGCAGTTGGCACATCAATAATTGTCATTGCTGTAAAGTGGTGGTGGTTACAACTCATCAGGAACATCTATGGCAAAAGATTTCTTGCTAAGCTTCCTCAACATAACCTTTTTCCATTTCTGTTGCCATCTGATTTCACACAACTACGTGGCAAATGTCATCTAATTAATGATGTTCAGATTTCTGCCAACTCTGAACAAAAGTTAGCCCATCAAGTTGATCAGAATTTCATTAGTGTTGGCAAGTGATAATTAATTCTTCCAATCTTTTACTGATCTCCTGAGTTACCTGAATTTGCTGCAGTGGATCAACTCAATTGCACGCGTTTGTATATGTGCAGACAGTTTGGATGAGAAATCAACCATGCATATTTGGATGGATTACTTTGGAAATATACAGTGATATAGAATTTCGTGTAATTTGTGTATGTCTCAATCTGAACCGGCAGTCGATCAATCAGACGATGTAAAGCGTGTGATCTCTCTGAATTTGCACATTTGGTGGATATGAGAAAGAATCTGGGACTGAAACCAAGCTTCATCGACAAAGGAAAGCCACAGAACTTGATGCAAAGAGGCCGTTTCCTTTCACAATCAGTGTTTCATAAATGGAAGTCCTCGCTTTCTACATATGCAACAGTTGCAGACAGTGGATGAGATGAAAAATATATGTACAAATATATGTGCAAATTAAGATTGTTTGGATGTTCATGCAACAAGTAGCCTGAAAATGCTGATCATATATATGTGGGTAAGAATGCCCATTTACTTTTGGTTAATGTAAGATTTTCTAAAAGCTAACTAGCATGCTTACACAGTTCTGAGCCTAAGTTTTTTTTTGTATTCTTGTCTACAGTACATATTTGTTTATATTGTGTGCTTATATATGGTCATTATATATTTGCTACATGTCCTCACCAAAAAAAAGGGCTGCTATATGCATATATATGTATATATGCTCCGAATATATGCCACCAGCTCTCCATTAACATTTCAACATGATCATGAATGCGTTGTTACTTTAGCATTACTGATTCGTCAAATTCAGATCGAGGTAGCTAGCTAGACTGAATATTCCTCAGGATATATAATAAGTTACTGAATGATCTTCTTTATTGATTTTTGCCCCTATCGTATGGACTTCTATACTAAATTGTCCACCCAAAAATTATGTATTGATTTGGACAAACAGAAGGTCAACCAACAATTAACAGCCAATGACCCTCTGACTGACTGAAAGCAAATAAAATGCATAATAACTTAGATATCATTAGTTCTTAAGAATACTTAATAAAATTAAAATTATTTTTTTCCTGGTTACACGATAGACGCACATGCACCATGACGCTCACACACACCAGCGAATGTGCCTCCTAATACACGTTCAAAGAGATGAAAACCAATAACATATCCCCGATCTCACTGAATTCATATTAAAAAACCCACTTGCATGTGCGTAATAAAACTAGGGACTAACTAGAAAACTGTTGCAAGTTTTTTAAGGAAAAAACTTTCAAATCTAACTATAGTATAATTGTAATATAATTTTACTATAACTATAATGTAACTCGTATATAAGTATTAAAATAATATATGTAACTTTATATCTAAATTATATAGAGATGATAACGTAGTTACAATGCAATTACACAATGCAGTTATAGTAGGGTGCAACTGGAGTATAACTAACATGTAACTCAATTAATTTTTTAAAAACATGCAACAGATCTAAGTGGCTAGCACGCACGGCTTGTGGGATGGATATCCTAGGTTCAAGCCCTTGCAAGGACACACCTTAATTCTCGCGCAGATTTTTTTTTCCAAATCTCGCACGAATCATGGCGTGGATCGCACGGCCAGAAAATCAAAAGTTTTCAGCCTCCAAAACTGTCGACGGCTAGCTAGCAAAACCGTAAAACTAAACTTACTGTAAAGGAGAAACACGGAATCTCGCGGAACTTGATCACATAGGGAACCCTAGCTCTCTACTATATAATTAGCCAAGCCATCATGGAGAGAGATCAAAATCTCTGCCAAATTTATTTCTTCCTTCCCAAATGAGGGGTGCAGTCCACCCCCCCTCCACCCCATGTGGTACAATGTGCAGTGGCAGTCCCCCATCAAGGCAAGCAAGCAACCATAGTGATCAATATGCTAGCTGCACATATACCTCTCTCTCTCTCTCTCTCTCTCTCTCTCTCTCTTAGCTAGCTAGCAACAAACAAGGGAGCTAGGGTTTTCTTGGCTCTGTTGCCATAAGCAGCAAGTGTACCCTGTCCCTGGAGAGCTCCTCATGGCCATGGCCAACCTAACAAACCTAGCTGCCAAGATCGGCAAGGAGGAGGAAACCGGGTGGGCCCACACTGTCAGAGGGTGGTTACAAGTCCACACACATGTTGCTTTCCATGGTGCCTTGTGAGGGGCATGCAGAGAGTTGCTATAGCTACATACACCTTCCTCGCAATTGCATGTAGTGTTCATGATTTTATACCATGCCCATGTATATATAGCTGCACTGTGCTCTGATGAGTAATACTGTTGCATTATATTGCATGAGCTACATACACTGATATCTCTGAACTTTTGTGTGCGTGATATATGCACTGTTGCAGTGTGTGTTTTGTGTCACAAGCTAGGCTCGTGTATTTGTGCAGAGATCGACCAGAGAGTATATGCTAGTGCATCATCATTGCATGCTGCAAGTACACACATGGATATGCACACTGATCTGATCATCATCATCATGAAGTCATGCTTATGTCTGCATCCGTTTCTTGCTTTGACTCACTATCTGATCCTAATTACACACTGATGCAGGGGTAAATGTAAAACTAGACTAGCTAGCATATTAGTTACAGTTAAAAATGTAGTTTGTTGCTTTCTGGATATTTACTACTCCCTCCATCTACTTTTGATTTGATTTGGAGTAGTACACTGATTTGATTTGCAGGAGTAGTAGTGTGAGAGTGTGTGACAGAGAGAAAGCATTGTGTGTTGCACATTACTACAAGCTCTCTCTCCTATATATGTCTCTCCTTCTGCACCTCCTGCCTTAGCCTTTGAAGCAAGCTTAGCACTTCACAAGGTATGTACATAGCACATTACTACTCCTGCCCTATCTATCTACCCTGTTCATGAGTAATTCAAGAAAAAAAAAAGGACACCTTTTCTAGCTAGTTCTTCATCCTTTCGCAGCAAAGAGTTTTTACATCTCTAGCTACTAGTTGTTCTCTTCTCTACATGAAATTTTTTCTACTTCTGATTGCACCCTTTACATAGCTGTGGGGGGAAATCCAATTTGAGCACCCATGCCTTATGTTGATTTTAACAAAATTCGTCCATGTATCGATATGTTCATAACTTGGCCATTTCTGTTCTTCTTCTTCTTCTTCTTCTTCTTCAGTTTCCTCTTGTGCAGAAGAAGGAGAAACAAAAGAACACAGAAATTAAATTAAACTCGATCAGGAAGGTATAGCAGGCATGGGGCGCGGCAAGATCGAGATCAAGAGGATCGAGAACGCGACGAACAGGCAGGTGACATTCTCGAAGAGGCGGGGAGGGCTACTGAAGAAGGCGAACGAGCTCGCCGTGCTCTGCGACGCCCGCGTCGGCGTCGTCATCTTCTCCAGCACCGGCAAGATGTTCGAGTACTGCAGCCCTACCTGCAGGTACGGTTCTTGTTTTGTTCTCTTATATTATCAGATGCTGTTCAATCTTTCCTTTCTCCAGCTTAGTGTCTCTTGTTCTCTTTTTAGTGCTTGATTTGATGGGTTAATTAATTTCTTGTTTTTTGTCAACCAAGAGATTAAGTTTTCGGCTAAGTTTCTCTCGGCCTTTATTTTGTTTTTCAGAGAAAATTAACTAACTCATGCAGTTTCTACCCTTTGTTTTCTTTGGGCAAGAGTGTTTAATTATGATCATTTGATCTGTTCATATAATGGATGGATGCCTTGCATTTATTCTTCATCTGAACTATTTTTCTTGTCCTGAACTCCTGATCGATCGAGTTTTTCCTACCTTCATTTTAACTATTTTCAGTGTATATGTATGCATCTGCAGTTTCCTTTGATATATTTTCGAAGAGCCAAGAATCTATTACAAAATTAAATCATGATCAAAGGCATACATAAGCAATGATCTATATGCCCTAGTGTCTCTTGTGACTTGATTACGCACTTGTCTTTTACATCTCTGAGCAACATATATGTATGTAGATTTGCAACTTGATCCTGAATTTATAGTCAACTAGTTAATTAATCCTTATTTCCCTCTTTCTAATGATTTCTAGGATCGAGCTGGGTTTTTTAGGTGGATTTCCCCAAAAAACTATTTCATATGTGGCTAATTTAATCAAACTAAAAGATGTATATCAACAGGGAATATAATTTGAACAAGTGTACGACAGTACGACCATATCTTATCTTATGTTATGCATGTTTTTATACTTAAAAAAAGATGCGAATATAAGAGAATGACCTAATATTAAATAATTAGAAGAGGTGAGGTTTCGAACCTTGGTTGTCTAGTCCACCACTTTGTGGAGCTAGCCGGAAGATCCCCAGACGTTTCTCACATGATTTTATACTGTTCTGCAGCATATTATAGTTAATTAATATGTGAATATTCATGTGAAGTTCTTTCTTCCGATCCCCTGTTCATTCCTGTTATTAGTTAAGAAATTTTCGTTTGTTTCATTTTGATCTAAAATAATATACTCTCTGTAAGTATATACATCACCAAGAGAAAATTCTAGCTACAAAATTAATTTATACCATCTGATTTGTACATCAGAGATTGTCATTTCTTTTTTGAATGCGCAAAAGAATTACACATGCACCATTCCAATTAGATACATGAACTTATCAAAGTATTAATTAACTCACAACTAATCAAGGTACTTGTTTCAATGTTTGACAATATATAGTTTGAGGGAACTCATCGAGCATTACCAGACCGTCACCAACACTCATTTCGAGGAGATCAACCACGATCAGGTATACATTAATTTTACAATCAGCAACACAATGTCTGATCAATATCAGAATATATATCGATCTATCTGCCAGCAGTTGAAATGAAATTTTCTTTCAAATGCACTGATCAAATATAATTAATGTGCACATATATATAGCAAATATTTGTGGAGATGACTCGGATGAGGAACGAGATGGAGAAGCTGGACGGTGGCATCAGGAGGTTCACCGGCGACGACCTCTCCAACCTCACGCTCGCCGACATCAACGATCTCGAGCAGCAGCTCGAATTCTCCGTCACCAAAGTCCGTGCGAGAAAGGTAATTACTTCCTCCATATCATATTATAAGTCGTTTTAATTTTTTTTACAAATTTATTTAAGTTTAATCAAGTTTATAAAAAATATATTAGTATTTCAAAAACAAACATTATCAAAATGTATTCAGTGATAGATTTAATAAAATTAATTTGGTATTACATGTGTTGCTATTTTTTTCTATAAATTTAATCAAACTTAAAAGAAAAAAAATTAAAATGACTTGTAATATGAAATAGAGCTAGTAATTGATTAAGAAGATAGTATTTGATGAATGAATCATTCTTCAGAGTTAATTTAGAATGATCAGTCTCTGATTCAATGGTAAATGGTAAGTTTAGGGTTTAGGGATTAATTGATCCCATAGTTTTTTCCTCTTTTCTGTAAAGCTTTGCTTTCGTAAGTTTTTTATTTTGTTATATTCAATGAAATAGGTGTATCTAAGTGCCGATTCGTTAAAAAAATAAAAAATAGTTGTTTCACATTAATTCTTGCTTGTTGCAGCATCAGCTCCTGAACCAGCAGCTGGACAACCTTCGTCGCAAGGTAATTAATTTGCACTACTAAACTGATCATGAAACACCAAATACTTTGCTGTATGATGATGAAAAAAAAAATGATTGATTCAATTCTATGCATGAAATTGATGAACAGGAGCACATCCTGGAAGACCAGAACAGCTTCCTGTGCCGCATGGTATACGTATAGTTAGTTAATCAGTAATCAAGAATTCATTAAAATGTTTTGATTCTTGAAGCACATATATGTACATTAATTATGGTGTTTGGTTGATTCTTGTACATGAAACTATATATGAATTCAGATCAACGAGAACCATCATCAGGCGGCGGTGGGCGGCGGCGACGTGAAGGCGATGGTGGAGATGGCGCCGGTGCTGTCGATGCTGACGGCGGCGCCGGCGTACTACGGCGAGGAGTCGTCGAGCACCGCGCTGCAGCTCACCCCGCCGCTGCACGCCGTCGACGCCGCCGCCGCCGCCGGGTTCCGGCTGCAGCCGACGCAGCCCAACCTGCAGGACCCCGGCTGCAGCAGCAGCAGCTTCCATGCCGCCGCCGCCGGCCACGGCCTGCAGCTGTGGTAAGAACAAACGAAGCAAAGCATACATGGCACATCCTGATACTCTCATCAGGTGTGTGATGTGAATATATATATCGCAATGATTTTATCTACTAGTTTATGTACTTCATCCGTTTTATAATATAAGTCATTCTAGTATTTTTCATATTCATATTGATATTAATGAATACATATATATATCAATATAAATGTAGGAAATGCTAGAATAACTTACATTGTGAAACGGAGGGAGTATAATTCATCGCAACACAGCTGCGAATTAATCATGCATTGATATCATTCTGCAGAGATCTAGATGATTGCTTGCTAATTAAGCACATGATGGCATTGTCGATTCTGGGAGCTAGGAGTAACTTGGAGACCATGAAGATGCATGATCAGCTGATGATAGACGATCGAGTTGGGTTGCTGTGTTGTTCAATTGTTCATCGTTCTGGACATATATATATATATATATGTGTGTGTGTGTGTGTGTGTGTGTGTGTGTGTGTGTGTGTGTGTCTAATTAGCACATCAGAATAATCAAGCTTTTCTACCTAGTTAACTAGTACAGCTGCTAAGTACCTTTTGATTTGTTGGTGTGTGAACTACTGAACTGGAGTTGGATATTAAGGTCTCCATGCATTTGCATGGTTAATTAGCAGAGAGATCATTGAGGTTTTTAGGATGTAACACAACGACAAAGCTTAATTAATTTACTTGAGGATTAATGCCATTTCTGTAGATTGTTAATTATGGTTGAACTATAAATTATGACGCAGATTACCTGTTACTACCTAATTAATTAACTAGTACCAGTACTTAGATTATTGGACATATTAGTGGTACGAATTATCTATTTAATTATAATGATAAATTAAATATTTTAAAAAATAAACTTGACAAATAGCTTTGAAAAGTTGTTTAAATAATACAAGTGGGAAATTTTTTAAAACGTTTTTTTAATGTGAGGAATAAATAATATGTTTTAATATTCGCAAAGAGGACATAGATGCATGTTCTAAGTATTTCCCCCATCTCAAAATATTACAATTTAGGATAGGTCTAATCCGTTCATGATTATAATATCATTGGACAAAGGGAGCACTCACTTCGTACAACATATTTTGAGTTCAATGACAAGTAGTAACTGGTATAATCGAAATCATTCGTATACTTGATAAGAGAGTCGGTGTGGTCTAGAGTATAACAATGGTAAGACTATTAACATTTGATCCAAAATAAAAAAAAATCGATGAAAGTGTGGTACAAAAGAAAATTTCAGTAATAAAATGTGTTCCAGGGTGAAATTTACGCAAAACCATAAACTTGATGTTAACCACACGATTTGCCTAGGTAGAGCGTGAGTGCTTCGTATTGCTGTACTCTCTCCCCAACGTCGGATGAGACGTGAACGGCTTGGATCGACCGCGCCCGAAAGCCTTCTGACAATTTTGCATATGAGCCCTCGGACTCATCTGTAATACCAACTAAACCCGTCCCGAGACCTCACCTGAGCTAACCCCCTCTTCGATTCTTCTCCCCGGCGGCGGCGGCGGCGACGATGGGCGGCGAGGGCAAGTCGAGGAAGCGGCGCTCGTCACCCTCGTCAGGTGCTCAAAGGCCCCCTATCCATTCCCCCCCTCTCGAGGCATCGGCGTATCTGGTCTCCGCGTGTTGATTTTGCCAATCTTCTTGGTGCGTTTGGTGGTTCAGGGGAGGAGGAGGAGAGGGAGCGGAAGAAGAGGAGGGACAAGAAGGAGAGCAGGAGGAGCAGCCGAGACGAACAAGCCGAGGAGGAGGAGGAGGAGGAGAGGCGCAGGAGGAAGAAGAAGAAGCATGGCGACAGGGGCAAAGACAAAGGTAGGGAACTAGGGTTCATCTTTTGCCTTCACGGCTTGGCAGTGGCACTTGTTGATTTCTTGTTCTAAAACAGTTATATTGTTCTTACTTGAAATCATGCTCAACTATTCTGGAAGTGTGCAAATTATGCTGAGGATACACTCGTACCTGCTATATTAGCTTTGATGTATGTCAGTAATTCAGTGTGTGTGTGTGTGTGATTTTGACAGAGAGGGATTCAAAGGAGAAGCATTCCAAGGAGAAGGAGAAGAGCAAGCGAAAGCACAAGGATGATGTGAGTTCTCTAAGTCTGAATGATGCTATGAATCTACTGGGCATCATCAATCAAATGATTTTGCATATTAGCAGTTAAGCTATCTGAATAGGCTATTTAGGCCACATTTTTTCATATATGAATTGTTCTACAAGCTTGAGCCTTCGTATAACTATGGTACTGGAACGAGGTTGGTTTTTCTTTACAAGTAGAACCAAACTGGAGAACGTCCCTAGTTCAGTTAATTCTTCAGTGCGTGAATCAGGGATAGATTATCGCAGATTTCTTACGACCATTTTTTTTCGCCGGGCTGGTATATGTTCTGTAGCCATCTTACCCAGCCTGAGTAGGAGCCCCTTTTGTTTTCCTGAACAATGAAATTTTGCTGAAGCTTGCCAGAATGTATTTTGTCTCTGAAGACTGAATATAAAGGAAAAGCTTTTTTTTTTTTTGCTGTTGCCATCGAATTGAATTAGTGATATCAGTTTGTAGGTTATTTCCTTTTGTGTGTCTGTGATGAAAATTAGTGATACCAAGTCAGGTACTTGTTTAAGGTCACAGTTCACAAGAACCAGAATGGCTTATCTGTATCTGGACAGGTGGACAGGAGTTGTATCATGTATGCCATTTATATTTTTGAGACTAACAACAATTTTGGGGAAGTATTAAACTGTTGAGAACATACATAATGGCATACTGCACCCTTTGAGCTCTCCATTTCCTTTCTCCTTGAGACCATGCTTATCATTGTTCTTTTGTTTTACTGAAACAGGATTTCAAAGAAATATCCAAAGATGACTATTTCGCAAAGAACAATGAGTTCGCAACCTGGTTGAAGGAAGAAAAAGGCAAATTTTTCTCTGATCTTTCTTCGGAGTCTGCTCGTGATCTGTTCGAGAAGTTTGTGAAAACTTGGAACAAAGGAAAGCTTCCATCCCAATATTATGAGGGGATCACTCGTGGTCCACGGTCAGCACACAAGTGGAACATCAAAGTGTGATGCAACCTGAGGCCTTCTGTATTTTGTTGAGGACATTGTTCTGTCAGGCTAAGGGTAGTATTTATCTTCATCGCCTAGGTTTTTGTATCTAAATTCATATATATTAGTTCTGTATCACTGTTCACTAATGTTGCTGACCATCACTTAAGTTTGACATATACTTATAGTGATAAAAGTATCTACTGTTTTTGTCCCATATGTTGTTATTCTCGTGGTGATTTTACACATCCATTTGTGTCATTTGATAATTTTGGCGTCCATGTTCTATGACAGAAGGATATGTGAATTGTGATATGAACTTGCTATGTGATTAGGGAATCCTCCAAGTAGCCTATTCTTTCTCATCACCTGAATGTAAATACTGATAATGTAAGAACTAAGAACAGAGCTGTAGAATTGCAGACTATCTAGGATCTAGGAAAAGTAAGGCCATAATCTGGGATGAGTTTTTTTTTCCTAATTCTGAAATATTGACGATTCTCAAGCAATCAAGCATCCCCAATTTATATTTAGCTATTCGTCTACTACCAATCATCCCCAATTCCTCAGCATAATGCAGGCTCGTAGACACCAAGAACACACGATTCAGAAGTAAACGAAGCACACGTTTCAGAAATAAACGGAGCAGAGGCGGCAGAGCTACAATTGAAGATGAAATCACGCGATACTACAAAGAAATAACGAAACTCATGTCATTTACAGGTTCGAAGTTTGCAACTCTTTGTGGAAGAGGCAATGCCAACACTAATTTATTCATGTGTTGATCGGTGCTGATTTCAGGAGCAGCCGGTGGTAAAGATAAGTGCTCGATAGCACATCACAAGCATTGACAAAAGGGTCAAGGCGCATTCTTTGCAGATCACAAGTCACTGGTATTTGTTCAATGCTTGCTATCTTCTTCCTCGCAGAATTTCGAGTATTTCGCGTCATCCATCAATGAATTGAGCTCACCTGAATCACTAACCTTGACCTTGATGATCCACCCACTCTCGTATGGACTTGTATTAACCTATGCAAAAAAAAAAAAAACACAGTTCATAGAAGTGTTCAATCTACTCACAATGATCTATTACGCAATTAAAAGTTACCAATCCAGGTTCATCGCCTAGTCCATCGTTCACTGCAACCACCTCTCCAGATACTGGAGAGTAGATATCGCTGGTTGCCTTCACACTTTCAACAGCACCAAAGTTCTTTCCCTGGGATACACTGCTGCCAACTTCTGGAAGCTCCACATACACAACATCACCCAAATGGTGCTGGAAGCAAAAAAAAGAAAAAAAAACAACACATGATCAACTTTAGCACTGCTAGTCCTTGCTACATGTACTGAACATGATAACATATATTGGAACCCTGTAATGTTTAAGAAATGGAATGCTTATATTATGCGTATGTACAGAATGAAGCAATGAATGTGATATAACGTATGAATAGATCAACCTGGGCATGGTCTGTAATTCCAACGGTTGCCGAATCACCCTCAACCTTAACCCATTCATGAGTGTCAGCATACTTCAGATCCTTCAGCACTGAAAAAAATAGAAAACAAGCAATATGCACAACTTCATCAGATGTGTAAAATACTGAATTGGCAGTGAGGAAACAAGGTTTCCACAGAAAGCATACGAAATTTCCAGAACAACTGGAATTAATGGCCCCCCCCTAGAAGCCAATTTATAAACTGAAAATTAGGTGTATTTTCCTATGACCATTTGTCCAATGCTTGTTAGAAACCAAAGCCTCTTGGCCAGGCAAATTAACAATTGACTATTTGTCACTTCTTAAGTTGCATAAATATTTTACCATATGGTTTTCATTTCCTACTACCAAAGTTTTAAAACCAAAGTCTGCTATAATAAGACTTTCCCTTAATTCATTTCCTTGGTGTGCCTAATTCAGATCTGTAAATATGTGATTGTGGCACACCATTTTAGCAACACAAGTTTTAAATTCATAAACAAACAACCGTGGTATTGTAACATTTTCATATTGGATAACAATATTGCCAATTATTGGTCGGTAGGTAGCTTTCTCCTAATAGCTACTAAAAGCATCTTCCTGAGATGCTTCATATGTTGGTGTCAAACGTCCTAACACTTCGAATAAACAGGACAAAGAAAGAAATTAGGCTAAAAAAAAAACTTTGCCTTCCTCATCAACACATACAATAGGCTAATCTGAATTTCAGAAATCAGTGTGCTAACATTCACATATCCAAATGCAGAAACATAAACCTGCCATGCACACGCTGTTACCAAGAGCAGGAACAATCACACAAGATTCCTTTTTCAAAAAAAAAAGATGAAACATTTCGCCGAAAAGAGATCAAATCAGACCAACCAAATTTCCCATTCACGCAGACGGATTCACAGCCTAAACCACCAACTGAACCCAAAATAAAAGAAGATAAGATGAACAGTGATCCTTGCCCCCAAAATCCAATCTTTGCGAGGAACAGGCAACGAGATCACGCCATTCCACCACCAACCACGCGTGATCCCACGAATATACAGACCACAGAATACGAAAAATACATACGCAAAACAAGAAACCGAAAGAGAAGAAGAAGAGAGAGAGAGAGATACCGGTGGAGAAGGCCCTGGGGAAAGTGGAGATCTTGAGGTAGGAGGCGGCGCGGGAAGCCCACAGCAACCTGGAGGCGGCCATGGCCATGATCGGACGACGAGGTCGCGGAGGAATGGATTGGAATTGGATTATTGCTCCTCTCCTCCTCGGCGCCGCACTCTGTCTGTCTCTCTCTCTCCTCTGATCTCTCTCTCTCTCTCTTCTTTTCTCTGCGGGTTCTGGGTTTGGTGGCTCCTTTCTCTCTTTTTTTTTTCTTTTTTTTTGGCAAAAATATAAGCAAGATGCAGAAAAGGTTGGTAGTGCAGGTTGCAAATTGAAGAAAAAAATTTTTTGGTGGGCTCTTGGCCTTAGTGGGGCACTTTCCTACATTTTTTTGTGTTTGCAGTTATACCCTTAATATTCTCTATGATTTAGGAAAAAGTATCATTCAAAAAAATGGCAACCATTTTTCGAGCCATATCTGGTTTACTTTTCGCAATCATAGAAAAGATTTATATCACTTACGAAGTATAAACTGTTTGTAAAACGCCTGTGTTTCAAAGGGGAAGTTAGGAGGTCTCAACTCTGATGGACATATTCACAAGGGCGAATATATTGCAGATATTGAGAAATATTTACAAAAATACTAACTAGGTTAGGGATGAAAATGTCAAATAACACTACAGTTGTTACAGTGCGTGTTGAACCACAATGAGGAAGGATCATTTATTAAAGAAGATTAAGCATCAGATGCTGTATCGCCAAGAGGGGCCATTGGTTGCAAAACCAAAAGCTCTGATGAGAAAAAAATGTGATCACCAAACTGATTGGAACGCTGTCTGTCAGGGAGGCCCTAACCAACAACTTACTACCAACCAAACCCACAAATCAGATGAGTTCTCTGTTTCTTAATCTGCTGTCTGCTTGGCCATCACGGGCTTGGAGATGTGTACTAGTATATGGCCTAGGAATTCGTGCGTGAGTAATTAACAATCTGGCATGGTGCTGTTGATGGGCCTGATGGCGAGTACAAATACTGTGTGACTCTGAATCTGATCTCTGATGCCAATGAGGGGTTGGTGGCTGATGCAGACAGAGTGCAGCTAGGCACAACAGCGGCAACAATTGGTTCTAGTGGGCAGTACGTCGGTTCCTAAATAATTTTATTTATTTATTTGCCCATCCCACGAACTAGTAGTATATCAGTATAAAAGAAAAAAAAAGAGAGTATAATATCTTAATTTTATCAAATCCTAGAATAATTGTTTTCATTTTATCTATTTCTAATATATTTGTTCCCAAATTTATAAACTCCAATACAATAATTACTTAAAATTAGGTTTATTTTGAAAGAGGACAAAAATAATTTTTTTTTAAAAAAGTGTATTGTACTTGCTCTTAGCGAGATTAATCACTCCGTTCTTATTATTTGGCGTCTTTAATATTTTCTCGATTTCCAAATGCTATATATATTCATCCTATTACTAAAACATGATCATTTTTACCCTTTTTTGTTCTTAAAATAAGTTTATATGATTATTTTTACTTTTTTTAAAAAAATAAGTTTATCTTTGAATAATCAATGTATTAGTGTTTGTAAAAGCAAGGGACAGATATATTGGGAGTAGAGAAAGTGAAGGATAATTGTATTAGGATTTGATAATGTGAGGGTATTTTAGTATTTTTCTTAATTGATATGTATGGAAGGGATTAAAGATAAATTTATCTTGAGAGAGAGTGAGAGTACTTGTTACTCCCTCCATTCCAAAATATAAGGCATAACCACCCTGACGGAGCGTGGGGCTCCTCACCGGGAGACCGCGCAGGCCCCCCTTTGCCGGTTCGGCCGGGGGCCCTGGGTGAGATTCTAAGCTCCTAGTCTGTATGTGGAAGGTTCGCGAGAATGGAAACACACAAGACACGGGCGATGTATACAGGTTCGGGCCGCTGAGAAGCGTAATACCCTACTCCTGTGTTTTGGTGGATCTATGTATGAAGAAGCTACAAAGTGCGAGCCAGCCCCCGATAGTTCTGGGATCGTTTTTCCCCTCTCTCTAAGTGGGCAAGGTCCTCCTTTTATATCTCAAGGGGATACCACATGCACCATCTCTCCCTCTCTTTCTTTTGTGTGGGGACTCATCCTCTCTTCCCTCCAACTTGACTTCTCTTCATTAATGGACGGAGATTTGTATGGCTGCCGTCCGAATGACCTTCTGATGGGACGGCCCATACCTACCTCCACTTCCGCCGGAAGCAGGCGCGACGTGGGAACATGGCTGTCTGCTGACGACATGACCATTGTCAGACCGGTCACAAATCGGTCATTCTTGTCCACCACGTGTCAGTTTAACAATCTGCATGTTCGCCCTTCTTCATACAATATCTTGCCTGTAATGGTTAGGATGAAGCCTGGCATATATCTGACCGGGACCAACGTGCCATCTCCAGGAGCTAACACGCCGGCTCCGGCTAGGGACGAGTGCTTGGAGGCTCTCATCCTGACGGGATGGGGCGAGGCGTGCGTCAGACCGCCTGTCGCCACCTAACCCACGATCTGATCGGTCTGTGACTGGTCACAGACCGGATAAACGAGTGCGCTGCACTGCGTTACATGCGGCGTGACGCGCTCGTCCAAACCGCAATAAATGTGGTTAGGTGAGCCCCGCTATGCTCACCTACCCCATATACGCGGCGCAAAACCCACAAGGGGTCGGGGCGCCTCGGCCCTCGCGGCCGAGACGGGAGCGGTCCGACCCCTCGGGGAGACAAAGAGAAGGGCGGCCGTGGGTGATCGCGTCTGCCTCAAGTCTCTAAGTCATGATACTCCCGGTCCCATGTCACCGACAGTAGCCCCCGGCGTTATGCCAGGGCGATCGCCCTCCTCGAGGGAAGCGGTCGGGCGTGACGCCACTTCTTAAGGCCTGGTGACAGGTGGGGCCGGTCTAAAAATCGGGACAAGCCGGTTCGTTTTTCCTGGAGATATGGTGATGGCGCTTCGGTCGGCGAGCGTAATTAACGCGCGCACGAGATGTTCCATCTCGACTGCCACAGCCGCATATCCACCTCATGCACCGCAAACGGGCGAATGGGATTAGTGGAAGCGTGGGCGCGAGAAACGAGGGGGCAAGATAGTGGGCGCGAGAAACGAGGAGCCGGGCACAGCGTTGGCAAGGGTATAAAGTCGTCGAGGAAGAGATTTGCTTCCTTCCTTTCGCCATTATTCCCCTTGTCTTCGCCGCTTGCGCCCTAACTCCTTGTTTCCTGTGCCCTACCTTCGCCACACGCGCTCGCTCTCAAACATCTCTTCTTCCGGCGTCATGGCACGGGGCTCCGCTCCGCTTGACGGTAGCGTGCTGCCGCCTTCCCGCATCGTGAGCGAGAGACAGGCCGGGCTGCCGCGCCGCTTCATGCCGGAATCTGCCACCGGCCGGGAGATAGTCTGGCTGGGCGAGGGATGCCCGGCGCCACGCTACCCGGGGCGGTCCGTCTTCTTCCTCCCTTTTGCTATGGCAGGGCTGGTTCCGCCATTTTCTTCTTTCTTCATGGATGTTCTGGAGTTTTACGATCTCCAGATGGCGCACCTCACCCCCAACGCGGTAATGACATTGGCCATCTTCGCGCACCTGTGCGAGATGTTCATCGGGGTGCGCCCATCCCTTCGGCTGTTCCGGTAGTTCTTCACCGTACAGCCAGTGTCGCCGCCGTCGGTGGTTGGTGGTTGCTACTTCCAGCCGCGGGGGCCGGTGCTGAACCGCTACATTCCCTGCGTCCTCCGCAAGAAGTGGGATGACTGGAAGAGCGACTGATTCTACACCCCCCTCGCCGACGAAGCGCGCCTCCGACTTCCGAGCCAGCCTCCAGCGCAGGCCTCCAACTGGCGGGCGCCGGTAGATCTGGGAGATGGCTACGACGCCGTCCTCGACCGCCTGGCGGGCCTGCGATCCCAGGGGCTCACAGGGGCCATGGTGTTCGGCGACTATCTTCGTCGCCGGATCGCGCCACTCCAGCGGCGCGCCCGGGGCGCCTGGGAGTACACCGGGTCCGAGGACTGTATGAGGACCCACCAGGGGGTCAGATGGGACTGGGCTCCTGAGGACTTCAAGATAGTGGTCCAACGGGTGCTGAATCTCAGCTCCGTGGAGGCATCCCTCATTCCTCAAGGAGTCCTCCCCCTCTGCAGTGATCCAGACCGCGCCTCCATCCTGACCATCATGCAGGCGGTCGGGGCGTCGGAGGAGCGGGCTCCTCGAGGCCACGATGGCGCGGGCGGGAGCCGCAGGGGGGAACAATCTACCCCGGGAGGGGGTCGTGCTTCTGGGCCCCGTGACGGGGGCCCGGGGAGCGGTCGCCCTGCCGACGCCCGGGGGAAGAGGAAGCAGGAAGGAACCCCTCCCCCATCTCCTCCCCGAGGGGGCGGGGCGGCGCGTGCCAGCAGCAGGCGCCCGGAGGGGGCCACGCCGACGTCGCAGCCCGAGGGGGAGCGGAAGAAGAAACGGCTCCGCAAGATGGGGGGGACAGAACCATCCCGGGGAAACCTCATTTCCCCTCCAAGGTGGTCGTTTAACCGACCCCCTCGCAGGTTCGTCCCACGCCCATCGTGGCCGTATTCATTCCCTCAACGCGAGTTTTCACTCATCCATCTTGTTTGTCTTCTGGTCTTTCTTCTGTTTCAGCGAGATCCCGTCGCGTTCCTCCCGCCATTCCAAGTCCGGCCAGTCTGAGGCCGAGGACCCGGCGACCACAGAGGCTCGGAGGCGGGAATCTGACCGGCGAGAAGCCGCGGATCGCCTACGGGAAGCCGGGGAGGCCGCCCAGGTGGCCGTCCGAGCTCGCCAAGCTGAAGAAGCCGCTCGGGAGGAGGCCAGACTTCGCCAGGCCGAGGCGGCGACGACTTCCGAGGCAGCTCGCGACGAGGCCGCGGGCGCATCGCTTGGGCCCACTCCCTCGGGCGACGCTCAGGACAAGCCAGGTCCGGGGGACATCCCTGAGTCCGGCACGTCCATCGGCGGGCCGAGCCGCGCGGCATCCTCACCGAGGCGGCTCTTCCCCACGCCTTCCGTTGCTCCACTGAGCGCAGAACCCCTTCTGCAGGCCTTGGCCGTCGCAAACACCACGGTGTTGGACGGGTTAAGTGCCCAGGTGGAGGCCCTGCAAGCAGAGCGGGCGGAGCTTGACGCCGCATGGGCGCGTGTCGAAGAGGGGCGAAGCTCGGTGGAGGCCATGGTGGAGGTGGGCCGCAAGGCACACCGCCGGCACGTCTCAGAGCTCGAAGCCCGTCGGAAGGTGCTGGGGGAGATCGCCAAGGAGGTGGAGGAGGAGCGGGGGGCTGCCCTCATCGCCACCACCATGATGAACGAGGCGCAGGACACCCTCCGTCTTCAATACGGGAGCTGGGAGGCGGAGCTAGGGAAAAAGCTCGACGCCGCCCGGGGGGTCCTTGACGCTGCCGCTGCCCGAGAAC